TATATATATATATATATATATATATATATATATATATATGTAATATAAGTACAGTTAACATTATATGATTAAAATAATAAAATAAATAAATAAAAGTTATAGTTCTTAAACTTCATGATAGTTTTGCATTTCAAAAGTAACATATGTGAGGAATTTTAAGGTAAACTAGCTAGTGTACTGCATATATTTCAGCCAGATCAACTTAAGAACATTGGTTTGAGGTAATCTTAGTTTAAACAACTAATATAAATCTGGTGTTATGTAATGTAAACTGAAACATACTTAAAATCAATGAGGAAAATTTTTAGTATTAAACACATGTTTTTACTATAGTTAAAATTTTCACCAAACAGAAATTTCATGAAAATTTAAAAACAATTTTTTCAAATACAACAATTCTGCTCTAATTTTTAAAAAATTTATACTTAAAAAAAAAGCACTTAAATGTAATTTATTACCATTCTGCTCTTGTAGCAAGGTTTTCACTTTAAAAAATTTATGAAAATTTTGTAATTCTATTTAGGTGTAATTGACTTTTTCTGGTTAGATCCATTTTGTATTAAACTTTTTATTCATCCTTGTTAGTTATAGTTTCAAGAAACACACACATACACATACAATACAAAGTTGCATTATTATTATTATTTCTCTGTCAGTATCTTCAGTGATTTGAATATTCTGTTACGATAAAAGTTTGAGAAAACATCTTGAAACTAGCATTTGATCTCTTTTATTTTCAAAGCTAACCTTTGTTGGAAGTAAGACAAAGCTTTCTCACACTGTAAAACTTCTTCATGGGATGATTTTTCCTTGGCTTCAATACCTAAAATGTAATTTCTATTAAAATTAAGAACTTACTAGATACATTTACATTAAAGTTTAATTATAATTACAAAAATTATCATTTTAATGCACAAGACCTCGGTTGACAAGGCATGATTTGTTAACAATGTTTGTGATATTACATTATGATGAGATTGATAATAATTTAAAATGCATTAGTTTCGCTGGCCCAATATAGGTTTCCACAAATAAGAATATATGATATCATTTCAACAGTATATGTTGTGTGCCACTACTGGTAAAGCCTTTTGCTTAATATCGGAGCTCATCAAGACAACTAGATTACAATATACAATCTTAATTAAAACATTGTTTATGCCAGTCATGTAGGTTTTCACCTACTAAAAGTTAAATGTGTATACTCAGACATGAAATTATCATCATCATTATACTGGTAAATCTTCCATGCCAATACCCTTTCTTTGAAAAAGTTTCTTTTTCTAAAAGCAAAAACATCTTAGAGTATTTATTAATGATACTCCAGGGATCTGCATGACATGTTGGAAAAAAAAGGGTTTAAATACTCTTTGGAAGATTAATGGGGTTAAGATTACATATAAAATACAAGAAATTGATATTTGTACTACAGTGAAATATGATTTTGCTTGCAAATTAAACACTATAGGGTGTTAAATAAAATAAAATAAAAAAATCAATATTTCAGACATATCTTACAAAATACAAGATATGATGTGTGTTAACTTCATAACTAAAATGGTTTATTAGCAAATTCAAAAGATCCAAAGAAAAGTAGACAAGATTTTATCAAAAACAATGAAAACAAAACAGCAAAAAGGTTAAAATAAAATAAATCAAAGTTTAAAAAAAAGCAAACAAGGTGCCTGTCAAAGTAACCTTACTACCTATGTTTAGAGACAGAAAAAGAAACTCAAGGATTTTATTGTGAAGAAAAAGCTTTTTACCTTTTGAATTTCACAGAAAATGATTCAAACACAAAACAATCGTAAGTATACTTCCTACAAGAATAAAATGCTAGAGGGAATGTCAGAAGTTAGATCTTACAAAAGAGTTAAGTTATTACAAGTCCATATACTGCTTAGAGCTGGGCAATTCAATCAGTTATCTAATGACCAGGGCTTGCATTGGTTAGTGTCAAGTAAAATTATTGATTAATCAAAATGATGATTCAATTATTTAATGTACAGAAAATAATTAATTAATCAAAATTAGATGCTCCAATTATCATCATTTTCAATTATTCCAACAAATGATTAATCAAAATTACAATTAAATTTATTGTCACGAAAATAATCAACTAATCGATTATTCTAACTACCCGTGTAATCAAAATATTACCATTGTGTTTGTTTGGTTTTGATATATACACCTGGAAAAAAGTTAAGCACCCCCGTGTTTTTTTCAAGTGATTCAGATTCGACGTTCTTGTGACT